TGTTATAAATACACTTACTGAAGCTTTGGTATTTGGTCATACTTGAACTTGAACTGTAAGAAATCACATGCATACATGTAGTTTCAGAATCATATACATTTATAGTTGATTTTTAGTTGAAATATTTAAATCTGCATATAGTTGTTTCCTATACAAAACTTATGAGTTGATATGCACTACTCAAGTATTTATCATACATTACAGGTGTTTATCTATAAACATGATTATACATCAGATAGAATAATCAACACGTTTAGAAAAATAAGAAAAATTCAGTTATTTTGTTTTGACAACAATAGGCACTACTCAAGAAGGTAGACTGAAAGCAATATAAAAGAAGATGGACGAATTAAAACAACTAATCTCTTTCACCTATCTATTTATTATTTATGTTAAATATATTATTTATGTTAAATAATAAGATTTTTTTAAAAAATTATTTTTCACCTATCTAATTATGAATATTTTTTTTAAAAATATTATTAACACATAATATTTATATAGACTTATAATATTTTAGATACTTTAAACAAATTGTTTAGACATATTGTTTTACATCTATTACTATATAATACAGTTAAGAAAAAATCATGTAAAAAATTGAAAATTAATTGTCATTTTTCCTGCTCAAATATTTATTTTCTCCTCAAATTTTATTTGAAATATTTGGCTAACGTTTTCGAAATTCCACTTCCTTTTTACATTGTTGACCCCAAATCCTCTGTAATTTATAATTATTAAGTATTGTTTATTATCCTCTTTAATTTATAATTATATTTTTTTTCTTTTTCTTTTTAAATAAGATCAATAGTAGTTTCCACTTCCGCCATTGAGTGACTCAAATTCGAAGTCTATTTATAATATTGTTAATTTAATATTGTCCCCGTGCATCGCACGGGGTACACACTAGTTTAACATCAGTTAGTTTTTTTTATTTAAATGTAATTTCAACACAAAATAATTACACATATACTTAATGTTTAATTTTAAGTCAACATGTCAAACATGGAATGTTTTAATTAAGATCTTTTCTCCTTAATTTTTGCAACAAAACCGCTAACAATTAATCCTAAACAGAATAAAATTTTTCACGATCTCTCCCAAACCACCTATCCCCTTTGACCGCGGCTGCGCCACTCCACCGCGAGGCTCCGTTTCCTTGGCGCTGACTGCCAACGTCAATTCTATCTGATGATCCATGTCGGTCGCTGGGATTTCGGACGGCGTGAAGGCCGGCCTTTAAATCAGATCTACTTCCTCAACAAGAAGCCACCGTTTAATACAACTCTTTCGAGAATAATATACTGACAAAGCTGGCTGATTGCCATTGCTGGTGCTGTAAGATTCAGGTTAATCCGTATTTATTGTTGTTTTTTGATTGAGATGATAAGTAAGATTTGGTAATTCTGCATGAATAATATTTTTTTTTGGGAATTTTTTTGGCTTACTTTGGAAGCATTCCGTGCATCCTCAATCTGCTTCTGCAGATTATTAACTTTGGCACTTTATCTTGTTGGAATTATCTGTTTAAATTGTTTCCTTTAGTTTGTGTGGATGGATGTTGTCCCAAATATGCAGTTTATGAATCACTTTTCTAATGTTCAGCTTGACAAAAAACTGAAAATCTTTGTATGACTATGTTCATTTAGAAACAACTGCACTTAGAAACCAGTTTTATCCTTTTCATGTTAAAAAAATGTTATTTCATTTGATTTACTCAGGGACCAAAGATATCCAATGGGGAAGAGAAATCGGGCTGCGTGCTGGGTGATATTGGCCAATTACAGGCTGGGATAGGATGACGCAAAATTGAAACAGGTTAGGATCTCCAATTACAAGACGCCACAAAGTACATACATTATATTTCAATTATGGGATCTCCCAAAATTTTATTGTTTCAATTATGAGGGGGAAACAGGCTGTAATTTTATTTGGTTGAATTTATTATTCATGAAGAATTTGTTGGTAGCCTTTGTTTTTTCGGTTTATTTTGGAGTATATGTACAATATATCTATAGTATATGTACAGTATATGTTTACGGTTGTATATGTTTGTTGTTGCGTGTATAAACAGGTAGTATATGTGGTGTATATAGAGAGTATATGTTCAGTATATTAGAAGATTTTATTTGTAAATTGTTGGGTATATATTGTGTGTATATGGAATATATGTTCAGTATATTAGAAGATTTTTTAGTATAGTTCTATAAACTATATATATACTTTTATGTAAAAAAAAAAAAAAAGTTATTAAAGAAATGTTTTTCCATTGCAACATATACTGAATATATACTAACAAAAACGCAACATATACCCATTGGACACCTGCGTGAATTACAATACATATTTTATCTCTCTCTATTAAAAACGTACAAGGTGCGCGAATTAAAGAAGTTATTATAAGCATATTTTCATTTCTCTATCCTAATCAATCCCATAAAAAGGGGGATGGAGGTTGAAAGGATATGATAAATGAGTTAGACATTAATATAGATAAATAAGGTGTTTTAGGTAAAGAAACAATTGTTAATATAGATATGGTAGAGTTGTAAATAAGTTAAAATCACGTAGCATGCGTGAAAATTTCCATGAGCAAAAATGGCTTGGAATATCGAATAAAGGATACTCCTTATCCTTTTTTACGGCATGCTCGTTTATGAAATAATTTGCTCAAAAGAGGTTATTTTGATTAATTAGATTTAAATTTTAAAAATGCGGTATGATTAGTTATTAGTGGAATGTTAATAATGTATTAAAATAATATTTAAAATAAAATGATTATTATTGATTTGATGTAAAAGTAGTGGATAAATGTTTGGAAATGATAGGTAGTTAAAATCATGTGAGTGGATGATTAAAGTTGACGTGATATGCAAGAACGATTGATTTATAATATTTAATTATATAAATAATATTAAAAATAGAGGAGTTGAGTTACAGTTGAGTTAGATTTTGAGTATGAAATAAATGTGAACAAATTATTTCATAAAAAAGCATGCTCTAAATTTCTCACTTGAAGATATGTGCAGCCTAGAGCATCCTTAATAATAGATTTCGAAGATGATTTGAAAACATAAAACTTTAGATTTACCATCTCTTAGATATGCTTGGATACAAATTTATATAAAATTATCTAATTATTTTTAACCAATCATTCATTTTAACTTAAATTTAACTCAATTTGAACTCAACTCCACTATCCTCAATATTATCAATATAATTAAATAATATCAATCAATTATTCTAATATATTACATCAACCTTAATTCACTATTCATCCACTCACATAATTTTAACTAATCATCGTTTCACATCACCTCTCTCTTACATTTATATCAAATCAACTTTAATTATTCTATTTTAAATATTATTCTAATATAAACTCAAAATCCCACTAACAACTAACCATACCATTTTTTTTCAAAATTAACCATATCAAACCAAAAACTTCAAGCAAAACAAAAAAAAATTATTCTATTTTAACTAATCATCGTTTCACATCACCTCTCTCTTACATTTATATCAAATCAACTTTAATTATTCTATTTTAAATATTATTCTAATATAAACTCAAAATCCCACTAACAACTAACCATACCATTTTTTTTCAAAATTAACCATATCAAACCAAAAACTTCAAGCAAAACAAAAAAAAATTATATCCAAGCATCCCCAAGGTTTGTAAATACAAACAAGTTTGTGCAGACAAACCTCACATAACCTTGTGGGACCCACATCCACTTGCTTTTATTTTAGTCTCATTGTTCTTTTTGCATCGGCATCCCTTACAATTCATTTAATTACAACCTACAATCTCTTTTATCCACATAATTATTTCACAAAACGTCTCTTCATTCAAGCAATTTTCCACGTTTGATGAATTTTGTATATACCTATTAAGCATCCTTAAGAGATCCATGACACTACGACAGAAGCCTGACCATTATCACCATAATATGTCGCTCCTAAGCAAGACCCAAAGACAGTGGCATAGACAGCCCAACACGAAATATTGGTCGCAAGATCGTCTCTCTTTCGACCGCCCTGCCAAGTATGAACGCTCTCTGACGTACTAAACTAGTAAAACCGCGAAACTTGGTGTCACTACCGCCCAAGTAGTCTCATCTCACTGCCCAAGCCGGTCACGCAAAACTGCAAAAATACATTTCGTCCTCAAATGATTAACTATTACATGGCTCCACGCGTCTTCCTCTTGGCTATCAAGGTGGCTCGTAGTCATCATTACGCTTTACTTTTTTTCTTTTATAAAGATGACTTCTCGACACCTCCATGAAAAAAAGGCAACACAAGCTTTACAAGCAAATATGTACACATCACAAACTACACTAGCATAGACAAAGCCCGCTCCGGCGGCCCTTATTGTAACATCAAACACCATTGCTAGTCTTTTCTTTTTTCATCAGAGAATATTTCTCCTCGTCGATCTCACAGTAGACCGACGAAATCTTGTGCTCTTTTGATTTGCGCATACACTTTCTCTATACACTCACCTAGGTAATAACCCTTAATCTAAGGATTAAGACACGTTGGCGATCGCTGGTTAACATTGAATCAATAAAATGCCCATGTGAGACCCACTTTCTCTATTTTAAATGACATTTAATCCATTACATAAATGTGGGACCTTCTTTCTCTCTTTTAAATGTCATTCAATCCATTAAATAGAACACTTGAGACCCATAATTTGTGTTAATTAAATGAATGGTCACATTTAGGGATGTTCAATATGCCCAAACCTAATCCAATCGACCGAAATTTCAGTTAATCCAACCTATAAATCAAAAATCGATCAGAATTTTACTTTTATCGGTTCTATTTTAAACCAAAAATCCATTGGTTGGATCAATTTGGTTATCAGTTAGTTGATAAAATGGAGTAACAAAAGAAAAAAAAAAAAAATCTACGATTCGTGCAAAAGAGACGAGCACAAGTACGTCGTCAATAACTTGTTCTTAACGCTTGAACGAGTTGTGTCCCGCTCGGCCGTTGCTGTCTTAAATCTATGAGTACCTGCAATATAAACTGATGGCTCAAATTGTCCATTGATGATGTTTATGAGTTTTAGATTTTAAAAGAAGGAATGTTGTAGTCTTCAAATGGTGTGTATGAGTTCCTGCAACATCATCCTTTATTCCTTTTGCCAGGCCATTGGATGATGTTTATGAGTTTCTTCAACATAAATTGACGGCTTAAATTCATAAAAACTCTGAGCAATGGGTCTCGTGGTGTGGGTGGACCTAACAAACGGGCCTAAAGAACACTCAAATCACAAAGCAAACTAAAATGGTACATGAAAAAAACAAGTCTTAGGAATTGACTTGAGTACAAATCTTCCTAACTTCACCATCAGTCCCCGTCTTAACCTCGATATTTCCCATTTTCACCATAGATTTTGCAAATTCTTCATAGAAATTCACCGATTGTCCCTCGATAATCTTGTCGATGATCGACCGAGACTTATCATTAGTCAACAGTGCTGCATCGGACGAGAACAAGCCCCTCCTCATGAGCACGTTCACATAGTAATTCCGGTCGAACTTCTCGGAAGTTTCCGGGTCCATCTCGACTCTATTCGTGGAGCTTATGCTCTTGCACTTCTTGTTCTTGAGGTTGTCCACGTAGGCGGGGTCCATGGTGGGGTCCTCACCCCCTTTGCCCGTGAAATTGTATAATCTAAGAGCAAACGACGCGCAATGAGAAGTCCCGATGGTGTGCGCGCCTACACAACGTCGAGGAATTCAAATCATTATTACAAAATTTAGAAAGAAAAAATAAAATAAAAGGAACTAATAACTTTGGTTTCTCTTGATTATAATCCTAGGATTCGACCAATTGCCCATTTTCTGCTACCTGACATTAAAGGGCCAAAATCTTGTTGTCTTCGAGATTTTNTGTTAATTGTTAATCTAAGCAATTATCTTTCCTTTTACACTTTCACTTGTGAGTTCTATTTTTGAAAGAAAACTTTTTTTTTTTAGCTCACCAGATAAAATTACCAAGTCCTGCATATTAAGCCCCTTCTTCTCAAATTTATCTTCGAGAGTTGTTAAATTATCTATTGGGAATGGAAGTTGGGTCAATGTTTCTGAGCCATTTGATACCAGCCCATCCCTCCGGCCCGTTGGGACATCCCAGGTGGGCCCACCCTGTAATAGCAAAGTTTGATTTTCAAGCCATCTCATGAATCATGTCATAACTATGCATAATTACATAATGCTATGCAATAAATTATTCATTTGAGATTTCTAGATACTTTGGATTAGAAATTCTGTTATATTTGATTTAGACACTTTAAGACTTTTTTAAAGTTTTGATGCGATCATTTAGATTTTAAAAGGTTATACAAAATCTTGAGATATCTAACTTATTTGAGAGTTGAGACTATAATTTATTAAGACTTTTTAATATTTATTGAGATTTTAAAAGAAAAAATCAATTCATCTCACTCCAAATTCCACCTCAAGTTTTAAGATTGATAAGTAGAATTGAAGATCATTTTTTTTTTCATTTTATATGTATATATAAATATTCTCACAATGGCTCGAACGGCGTCCCGTGCAACTAAAGCAAGGATATCGGCACATGAGACGACTCCAGGGCATTTTCCCTCCAACAACCTCTTCACCTTATCTACGAAGTCGAATTGTCTGAGAGTCAGATTCGGAGGAGCATTTTTTTCGGTTTTTTTCCCACTATCGACTGTGGACTCCAAAAGCAACGATGCATCACAACCCTATCCAATTCAATTACAATCCTCAATAAGCTCAAAATTCGACTTATATTACAAAGTACATGTACACGTATAATATATATACATATATAAATACACGCGTGTTTTACCCGTACGAAACAATCGTGAAATTGAAGCCTGAGAAGGGCTGCTGCAATAGAGGCATCTTTTATGTGCTCATGGACAAAATCATGCACAAGTTTCTCAGCATTTGGGCATGTATTTTTGTAGAAATCCATCTTTAAACTAGCATGAGTAGAGGCTGCTATAAGTCCTGCAAGTAGGAATACTACAATCTTGGAGTTACCAAATCCTACCATTTTTTTCTCTCTTGTAAATTAACTCTTTTTCTCCCTCAAGAAAAATGTGTTGGGTTTTACTTAATTTCCACTCAATTGTTTATAGATCATGTTAGATTGTGCATTGAACCATAGTGCATGATCATGATTTTATAGGCAAATATGATTTGGTTAGTTAGGTAGTTGAGGGGCAAAGAGAGTAAAATTAGTCACAAAAAGAGCAAAAGAAAAAAGGAAATTTATACATTTTTCACATTAATTTACTTAGATAAAATTAAAGTACCTTTACTATACTTTCATTATTTGTGAATAACAGTGGATGATTCCATAAGTCGAGCATCTGATAGCTCCATAGCAAAACTATGCATCTATATTTCAAATCATTGTTAAGTAAAATTAATCCTTCTAATACCAAGGCTCTCATAATCAAACCCAATTATCGATTCAATCAAAGTACTTTGTTTAAGGCTGCATGTTCATCTTGGATAATTAAATAAGGGGTAATTTGTTTTAGTCCAGACTCCAGACAAAAATATTTTTTGATTAATTGCAAGGTCTCAGGTAATGCATAAAATAAACAAGATCATAATAAAAAAATGGCGGGAAAAAAAAAACTTCGATAAAGTGGTTGATTGAACGATTAATTTTTTTCTAACCTGCTCGTTTTACTAGACAACATAAAAGAGGTGATATGTGCACCAAACCAAGTGATCAGTTGGTGGTACATCCATATATCATTCAAAAACTATATTATTCATTTATTTTGTTTTCCTCTTTTTCTCTCCTAATTTTTCACAACATAATTTTCAAATTAAAAATTAGTGGTTGTGACACCTTTATTAATAAATTTTACTATGCATCTATTATTTTATTATCTTTGTATCACACCACAATTAAATATTATACTTTATATCACATTATTATACATAATGAAGCTATTATTTTATTTACAGACTCCTTTTTATTCAATAGAAAAAATATACCAATGAAAGTTAACATATTCATCCAAGGCCCATTGCCATTGATGAGTTCTTATTCAGAACTTACCAACTTTTTTTGGGGGTCAAATAGTATAATAGGTGGCTACTAACTGCGTGGACAAAACTAGCCTGTATAGCTCCTTTATACAATAATGTATCGGGCTTTTTCAACTAAGATAAGAAAAATTGGAAAATTTTAAGCACGCTTTAAAAGGAATTATTAATATGAACCTTTTTAGGGGAAGGAAATGATATAGTATCTGATCTGAAACAAATNCTTTTCCTTTCTACAATGATTAGTGAAGGGCTATTTTTTGCTTGGAATTAGCTGACTTTATTAGTAGGATTTTATTAATCTATCATTATATAAAAAGAATAACATTTTTACAAATTTAGAAATATTTTTCCTCTAAAATCATTAAATATATTCTACATATAGTAATTGTTGGACAAATCTGAATAGGCAAAAAAATCGGCTCATTAATTGTGTAAAGATTTGTTTCTTTTTTTCCTGTTTTTTAGTTTATCAAAACCGTTGTTTGACAATAAATATTTATTTTTCTTTTTCCTATTTTTAGTATAAATCTACACGAGCTTATCTCTTTTGTTACAAAATCTCATTGCATAAGTCTCACGTCTCATCCCTTATCTATAGAGATTTGAAAAAATAAAATAAAATAGAAACCAATTCATAATTACTACTAGAAATTCATTATCTACTTTAAGAAACCAATTTTCATCGGTCTAATTACTAATATTTTTACAAATATTATAAGCTAACCATACAAAAAAGTATAATAATAATTTTGAAATGGTGTGTAATCACATTTTTTTATATTCTCTTTATACAAAATAATTTTACATTGTTTGACCCCGAATCTTTAATTTATAATTAGTAAGTATTGTTTATCCTCCTCTTTAATTTATAATTTGTTTTTTCCTCTTTTTAAATAGGATCAATAGTAGTTTACACTTCCGCTATTGAGTGACTCAAACTAGAGGTCTATTTATAATATTATTAATTTAATATTATTCCCGTGCATCGCACGGGCTACACACTAGTTAAGGATAAGATGGAGAACTTTGTCTCCTTATCCAGCAGTGGATAATTGCAAAGCACACAATTGAAGGGTGCATGTGGAAAACTAAAAATTCTTGGTAGGTCTAACACGACTCATTAAAAGTCTTTAAGATTAGAATAATAGAGGTTTTCTTAAACAATTTTTTGAACTTTAAATTATAGTTCAACTCATTAAAACTAATAAATAATAACATATTCTAACTCATTTCAGTGTCCTATAAAAAAAATTCCTAGTGTATTTGTAATACTTCTTATTGAACAATCATGATTAGAGGCCAACGTCCATTATTCGGCTACTTGCATTGCGCGTTGTTGAAACTTGAAAGACGACTATGAATGTCTCTTAATTGACAATAATGAAAGGATACGCGTAGTTATCATTCACCATGAAAAGATTCTTTCTTGACAAATAGTAAGACAAAATAATTATCTATTTGATTATGTTTGGGATATCATTATGTAGAAAATTCAAAATTGGTTAATCGGTTTTTGTGGGGGAATGTCGGGCTTATCTTGTTTGAAGAATTGAACGGAATGGGGCAATGGGCGGACAAGGGGTGGAAAATGTCAGCTTCCTATATTACTTAGGATATCTTTGGTAGGACATGAAAAATTAGTTAATAGATGATAAGTTAGGTAAGAGTTTATAATGAATTTTGAGCATTTGATGACTTGATCGATATAATAAAAGTGTTTAATAAAATTTAATGATAAGTCAGTTGAAATAAATTTTTTAATAGAAATCTATCTATTTGTTGGATGTAAGAATTTTGTCTTTGATTATTATTTGTTTAGTAAAATTCAAGTTGAGTAGCGAAATAGAACTTTTCACAAAAATTAATATTCATTTAATTTCATTTTTCTCAACTAGTTCCACTAACACAATCTAAGCATATAGCCGTTGTTATATATTTTTTAATAAAAAAAAAAGTACTATCCAGCAATTTAAATATTTATAGCAATAAGTTTCATAATTCAACATCTTATTATTTTTTATATTACATCAAAAAATTTAGTTATTACATGATTTATATTCATATCTCAAATTTACTTTACTTTCTTTTTAAATAAAATTTTCACTTTTTCATATTGTTGAAAGATAATTTTTTAAAAATAAATCTATATCCAATTAAATAATTCAACATAAATGACTTTAAGTAGCAGCATTTATTGTAATACTTCACAATTATTGATTTATATATCATATTATTGTAACACTTTTAATATAAGTGTTACAAAAAATTAGCAAAAGTATTGTTACCAAAAACTATCAAAAATATTACCTTTCACTTTTAAGTAGCACAAACAACTGTAGCGCCAATATTGTATTACTTATTGTCTATAATAACATTTTATAGTTTTTACGTAATATTCTGTAGTTTTTACATATCATTTTTTTGGTGCTACCTAAAACCATTTATGTTGTAGAAATATATATCCGATTGCGATTAGTATTATTATATTGGATATTTCATCGAAAATTTTCTAATGATTAGAATCCTTGGCACATTTTGATTGACCTCTAGTTTCGTACGGAAATGATAATCTTCACGGGAATCTCGAGGATGAGAGAAAAATAGAAGGTACTGCTATTAATATGGATTATTGTACTTTATATTTAATATAAATCATTCTAGGATCATAATTATTACCTTTTTTTATATAAATATACTAGGAATATAAAAATGCCTCATAACTGCAAAAGAGTATCAATGATAATCCATAAGAGTTTTTTACACAATTTTAATTCACTGAGAATAAACATTACAATTATATTCAGATATTATTTAAGTCTATAATATTTAGTATATAATAATGTACATAAACTTATCTTATCAAACTATGTAATAGCCTCATAAATTATTTATTACAAAAAAATTTGCCTTACTATCTTAAAAAGAGGAGGAAAAAAAAAAAAAAATTTAACAGACATAATGGATGGGATTGGGAGCTTCCAAATTGTTCATCTCATGAGAGAAATTACAATATTAGATACCTAACCAATCTGTCTTTCGTGTCTTGTGTTCGGAAATGCTTACCTATTCAAAGAGATCGAGTTGTGTTAGTTAGATCTACTAATTTTATGAACTCGAACCTCACATTTTAAACTTTTAATTAAAGAAACAAAATGAGAAATAGAAGGGGGAAAAAAAAAATATCCAATAATCACCATCACCATTATGATGAATTCTCAAATAGCACCACACAAAAGCAACCCCGCGCATGCACCAATTAATTAATCAAAACAATAGCCCAACGCAATAATAAAAGGAAAATAAAAATGAAAATGAAAAATAGAGAAAAAAAAAACAAATTAAAATAAATTGAAATTAAATTAAACAGAGTCCCAACTGATAACTAATTAACGGCAGAGCAGACCCTTCTGATCTGGCCGTCAGTCCCCGTAAGCACCCCAATCTTCCCCATCTTCACCATTGACTCGGCAAAATCGGTGAAAAAACTCGGGTTACGGAAAAATGTTGAGTGCTGCTGCACGTAAGCTCTCGTCTCTTCGTTCTTCAGAAGCTCTGCATCTGACGTGAACAGCCCCCTCATTGTACCCACTGTCGAGAAGTAGTGGGTATCGAAATGCATTGAGCTGCCGGGGTCCATCGGGACTACGGTGGTCGTGTCCGTAGGGGAGCATTGCCTCTTGAGGACAGCCACGTACGCTGGGTCCATGCTCGGGTCCGCGTCGTTGTTGCCCGTGAAGTTGTACAGACGGTTCGTGAAGCTCGAGCAGTGCGAAACACCGATCGTGTGCCCACCTGTCCACGAATTATTATTATTATTATTATTATTATTATTATTATTATTTGTGTGGATCACAATAATAAATTAAAGTTAAAAGTGGTAACATTAGTAAATAATCTTCTCAAATTTTAAAAGATGGAACTATGAATAATGACCATTTTGCCATATGAAATGACCAAAATAATGTCTCCTTACCTTTTTCACTCAAAACCATTTATAAAGGTTCAGAAATAATTTCTAGTATTCAAAAAATGATTTCTAGAAAACATTTAAATAATATCTTCTTGTTAGTTTTTGATTAAGTTTTGTCCCACATCGGATGTATACTAAAGATGCGTACGATCTTATTAGTATAAATAGGTCCCTTGCCTTTGGGTTACAATTGCACCTATTCTATTCTCTCCTCTCTTAGAAAGAAATCTTTAATTAAAGAAATCTTAATTTGCGGGTTATTTAATCCTAGTTGTATTCTGTTGGTGAGTTTAGTAAATTTGGCGTTGCGGTTGGCGGTGCCTGGAGACGTAGACTATTTTCGCCGAACTCCGTTATCAATTTTTGTTTTTTTTTTTTTTTATTTCTCGTCTTTTATTTATTTGTGTTGACTTATTTTCGTTTGGAGTAGTGCTTGTCATATTTGTTGGAGGGGTATTTTTGTCCGTTGCGTTTGGTGTTCTACCCCAACACTTGTATTATATAAATGGTTTCAAGAATTCAAGAAATGGTTTCTACATCACATAAACGTGTATTGAATTTTACAATTGAATTATGAAAGTCTAGAAACGATTTTTGGGTGTTCGAAATTATAAATTAATTTCTATTGATCAGAAAGTAAGGATAATTGTTTATCATTCATACTTCCATAAAATGTGTCTATATATATTTCATCTTTGTATTTGTTATTTGGCTATAAAATCAATGCATTATAAATTAAATACAAAACTGCAAAATATGATAAGTAACTTAATGAGTATGTGACATTTTTTTTCAATAACGTTTCAGGATTGAAGAAAATGCTCACTAACTAATTAAATTGTGAAAATTGCCGCTTTCTTTTTGCAAGTAGTTAGAGCGTATAGTCACCTGAGAGGACAACGAGGTCCTTGACGCTTAAACCCTTGCCCGTGAAACTGGCAATGAGTTGGGTGATGTTGAAGAAAGGAGCCGGCAGATTCGTTAGCACCTCATTCGCAATCGACACATTTCCATCTCGCCGGCCTAAGGGAACTTCCCAATATGGCCCCAGTATCTTACACAACAAAAAAATGCTACGCATGTTAGCTACCGAAATTCACCACAACACGTAACTAACTACATTATTCATATTTATATTTTAAATTTACAATAATGTGTTTCCGTGATAATTTATAGTAGCCTAAAAAATAATCAACACGCGAAAATGTTACCTGTGATACTGCATCGCGAGCCACTAATGCCAGTATGTCTGCACAAGAAACTTTTCCTGGGCAATATTTTTCGACTTCAGATTTCACGGCATCAATGACTTGAAACCCTCTAAGGCTGAGGTTCGGAAACGAGTCCCTCTCGGCCTTGTTGTTAGCCGTGGAGTTTAGTAGTACGGATCCATCACAACCCTGCCACATTTTAATCAATATATATATTTGGTGGCAAAATTTAAAAAATGGTCTACTATATATGTTGGTCATTTTTCGAAAAAAGATCCATCATATAGGACGTCATCAAGAATGGTTCACTAAGTTGACTTTAGTCAAAATTCGTATAATAACAAACATAATGTGCTAAAAGTGATATTTTAGTCATTTGATTAAAATGCATGGCAACTTAGTGAACCATTTTAACTAAGGACTATATGATGG